TACATGACCCTTCAACTCCAGTAAATTGTCGCGTCTACGCCAAAGGTGTTTCAGTCCTGTGTACGCTGCTCGAGCCTTGGAAATGTGGGCGGTTATCTCCTTTGCTGCATTGCCGTCATTGGTCAGGCAACTACCTAGGTAGGAAAAACAATCCACCATAATTAATTCCTGATCATTTAGGTTCTTAGCGGGAGTAGACGATTTGTGTATGCATTGGAATTTGATGGACGGGTACTGCTAGAGTGTGCAGCCACTAAGCAGGAAAACGATTCGGGTCCTCGTTCAAAGCCTTAGTTCTAACAAGAACCTAATCGCAAGGCAGCGGGTGAAGCGAAGTGGGGGCCCATTTAATTGGATCGATGATTCCTCCATCAATTTTTACCGACTGAAACGGAGATTCCAGTCGAACCCTTAACCTGAGGACCAGGAAACTGAACTCCGTCTGACATCTACCCATTGACTTTCCAGGCATGATAAAATTCCCTAGCTTGATAAAAGCCATCCCGTGTAGCTGGTTGAGTCACAGAGGTGCACAAGCCATCACATCACGTCAAGGTGCAGTCTCGTTGTCACGGTGCACAGTATATTAATTCCTGATTTTATCTCCCACTGCTGTTCTTTAGTTCTGTTCTATCAGCGTTTGAATTTACGTGACCTTGAGCGTAGCAATTCAATTTGTATTAGTTCAAATGTCAGATATGTCCAATTTGAAAAATATTTTCAGCGAAGCAGTATAAAAATTCATTTAAAAAAAACGATTCATAATTCATGATAGTGTTCGATAAGTTGAGCCATTTTATTCTAAAATGCTTGTCTCTTCTCATTCAGCGCACAGTAAATAAGCAAATCAATGAAAATATTCTAGTCTAAATAAAATGATAAATTACTTGGCTACAAACTACGAACGCAGTATATACAATACTGAAAGAACTAAAAACATAGTCCAAGAAACTCACAAGTTAATCTTTCAAAGTGAACCTTGAGATGTGTGGCGTTTTAGATAAGTGTTTTATTGTATCACCATACCCAAACCGGATGAAACATTCGAACGATTTTGGCACATAATTGAAGCCGGAAAGCAACTTAATCGAGAGGCACATATTTTTGATGATTCAGTTGGTGTCTTGTGGCAGTGTTTCGATGTAAACATAAGTCCAATTTAAAACATATTCAAAGGGATTTCTCCATAAATACATAAACCGAGACAGAAAAAACCGATCATATCAAAGTAAGACAATGATTTTATTTGTTCGCAGCGGAGGAGAGTTGCACACAACCAATATGAAGGAAAATCCCGGATAAATAACGGTTTTTTCCTCGCGCTTTTGTTTGAAAAATGATGGCTGACTTCAATGAGCAGTTGAGGTCACGTGATAGGAAACCGTTATGGAACGCCCAACAAAGCAAGG